CCACTGGGGCCATCGGCGGGGCTCCCCATGGGGTTACGAAGCGCTGCCCTGAGTGGGGGAACCGCATGCGACCCCCCCCAACTGGGGACATCGGATCGGCGGAGCTCCCTATGCGGACACGAAACGCTGCCCTGGGTGGGGGAACCGCATGCGAGCCCCCCCACTGGGGCCTTCGGTGGAGCTCCCTATGGGGCCACGAAACGCTGCCCTGGGTGGGGGAACCTCATGCGACCCCCCCCCCTTACTGGGGCCATCGGCGGGGCCGGGAGCAGAGGCGAGGAGGGGGAGGAGGGAGGAGGGAGGGGGCAGCGGGAGGAACGCGGGGCGCTGTCTCGTCAAAACGAAGACCCAACACCACAGGATGGTTGGGAAATATAGAAAAACCTTTTTGGAAACACAGCAAAAAAGAAATCTTTAAATTATCTTGAGGGGAGAAAAGGAAATCAATAATAGAGCGACAATATAACTCCTTTTGGCATCCGCCACAAAAGGAAACCCGATGTAACCCTTTACAAAGGGATTCCTTCTGTGGAGGGTTACAAAGGAATTCCATGTGTGGAGGATTACACATGGATTCCTTTTTGTGGGGGGTTACAAAGAAATGTCTTTTCTATGCTCGCTTTAAGTTTTCCTACTTTTTCTTTTCTCCCCTCAATGTAATTTCAATGTTTCCTTTTTTTCAATGTGTTTTCACAATTGTTCCTTATGTTTCCTTTTGTTCCTCTTTTTTCCCTTCCTTGTTCGGAGCGGGGGGCGCTTTACCCTTGGAGGAAGATTACAAAGGGATTCCTTTTGTGGGGGATTACAATGGGATTCCTTTTGTGGAGGGTTACAAAAAGAGAACTCTTTTATTGCGGGCTACAAGAGGATTCCTTTTGTGGCGGGCTGCAAAGGGATTCCTTTTGTGTATGGTTACATGGGTTTCTTGTGGCGGGGAGGCTTCGCGTGCTGGGGGCCAAAAGCGGCATGCACGTGGGTATGCGTGAGTGGACATGTTGCAATTGCTCACCCCTATTGTTAGGTTTGCTAACGTATTGATCTTTGCTGCAACAGTTCTTTCCTCACCGCTTTCAGCACGAGTGAGAAGGGATCGGAGTACATGCGGATCGCCCAGAAGGAAATATATATATTGTATGAGGATGTATCCGCATTCTGTCGTGGAGCTGCCACGTGAGGAGTGCAGGGATACGGGATACGTTTGTCCGTCGCCGCAAGATGAAGCCTTTTGTAATCGAGGACAATGGGATATTGCTGTGGTCGGCAACAATGGTTTGTTCGGTAATGCATCATACAAAGGATCCATAGTCTAACATACGAACTCGCAACTCAAGGAATTCTTCTGGATCCGATTTCATGTGGTTCCTTCTGGGAACCCAAATAACAGAAATCCTTGTGTAACCCACCGCCAAAAAGAATCCTTCTGTAATGCGCCACAGAAGAACGAACTCTCTTTTGAATCCGCACAAAGAGAAATTCTTGGGTAATCCACCGCAAAAGGGATCTCTTTGTAATCCGCCACAAAATGAATCCTTTTGTAAACCTCCACAAAACAAGAAATTCTTCTGTACTCGGCCATCGAAGGGATCCTTTGTAAGATGCCACAGAAGGACTCCTGTTATAATGCGCCACAGATGGAATCCCTTTGCAATCCGCACAAAGGGAATCCTTGCGTAATCCGTTTCAAAAGGAATCCTTTTATAATCGCCTCAGAGAGAGGCGCGATCCCCCCGAACAAGGAAGGGGAAAAGAGGAACAACAAGGAAAAGTAAGCAACAACCGGTGAAACACACAGTGAACAACAACAAAAACAACTGGTAATGATCTTGGGGGGGGGAAGGAAACCAGGAAACATTAGAGCGACTCTAGCAATCCTTTTGTAATCCGCTACAGGAAGAAAGCCATATGTAATTTTTTTTACAAAGGGATTACTTTTGTGGAGGTGTACAAAAAATCCATCTGTGGAGGATTACACATGTATTGCTTTTTGTGGGGGGGTACACAGAGATTTCGTTTGTGGAGGATTACACAAAGATTTCTATGTTGGTTTTTTTTCCCCCCTATTTTTCTTTTTCTCCCCTCAAGATAAGTTTGATGTTTCCTTGTTTTTGTCGCTGTGGTTTCACAATTATTTTCGTATTTTTCCTTGTGGAAAGTTTCAAAGAGATTTTCCTATTGCGGGCTACAACAAAATTCCTTTTTTTTTGTGGCGGGCTACCAAGGGATTCCTTTTGTGTATGATTAGATACGTTTTTTTTGTGGCGGGCTACACAGGGAATCTTAAGGATTCCACGATATTCACAAGCCAGGAAACACTACAACGCCGCACATCAGACACATCATACATCAGAACGCGCCGTCATACACCTCACAAAACGCACCCCCACAATGGCCTGTACTCGGAGGATGATGTGGATGATGGAGCAGGCGGGAGGAAGAGAAGGAGGATATGGAATGGATAAGGAGGAGGAGGATGTCACTCGTACCCAGAAGAATCCAGACGGGGCCACCAGACAGACCTAGAAGGGCGCTCGGGAGTGCTCTACAAGGATCTGTGCAGCGCGCCGTATATTGTAATGGTGCCTCCCGAGAGCCTCCTCACTGTCGAGGGGGCCAGGGTCAGGGGCGGTGCGCACAACGTTATATATATACATAAATATATATATATATATATATATATATATATATATATATATTATATATTATATTTATGTATATATATATATATATCTATATGAAAAGCCCGCACAATCCTCTCGACGATCTCTGGCGTAGGGCGACCATCGAGCCCGAGACGCGTAGTGGGGCAGTCAGGAGGCAGATCGGGATGGTATACAACCTCCACAAAACAGGGCAATGAATATAGTGAAGCATGTCGTCACGGCTTTGGGCACACTGGAATCTACACATGCCAATCTCAGATGAGTGCAAGCGCGGGCTAGTGAGCCAACCTCCTACAATCGTCTTTAGGACCGCACTCTGCCAGGCTGGTGGACCACCATTTCGGATGAGATCTCTGAGGGCATCACAAGATGATTCCGAAAATGGGAGCTCCCAAGAGGCCAAACGTTTAGCGAGGGTGAGGTGGAGGACGTCGGGGTAGAGGGAGAGGCGTAAGGAAGAGGAGAGGGATCTCTGCACTCTCACGCGCCCCTGTCCCGAGGCTTCGGCAAGGGCAGCAAGGGCTGCGCGGGCGGCAGGAGGAGGAGGATGATGTGGATGAGGGTGCAGGCAGGAGGAGGGGGAGGAAGAGGAGGAGGAGGACGAGGAGGAGGAAGGATAAGGAAGGGAATTGCAGGAGAGGACCTAACGGGAAGCGAGTGTGACGTGGACTTGTCAGAACGTGTGCGAGAGGTTGTCCAGCCCGTTTCGTTTGAGACATCCTTCCAATACTGAACTCCAAAATGTCGCTCGCGAGGTGGTCCGGCCCGTTTCGCTTGAGCCATCCTCACAATGCGAAGCTCGAAGATGTTGCGCGCGAGACGGTCTGGCCCGTTCTGCCTGAGACGTTTCGTAGCACAGGGGCTCCAATCACAACCTCTCTCATTCCTTCTCCCGCCTCACTCTTCCCGCTTCCCGCCTGGCTCCTCTTCCCTCCTCCCTCCTCCCGCCTCCCACCTCCCGCTGCTGCGCCTCTGCCTCCGCCTCCCCGTCCACGCCGTCGTCGTTTCTCCCGCCTCAGCATCCGTCATGCGCGCCCTGCCTTCCGCCCTCCCCAGACATCCGACGTCACGACTTTTCTTTTGAAACGTGCGCCCGCGGACCACCGACCAATACGAGGCCTCCCGACCAATACGTTCCATCCAGGGCAACCGGGGCGACAAGGGGGAACCATCACGACATGCCCTCCCGCTTCCGCGCCCTCCCCCGCTTCCTCTTACAGTTGCTGCCAAGTTCACAGCATCGCGGTGGAGCTTTTGACAGTGCCGACCCGACAGCTTCTTCGTCGACCAGGTGCGAGAGAGTACGACACCCTCTAGCGTTAGCTTCCTGATCGGCCTGCGTCACACAAGCTTTCGTGTAAACATCATCTGCAAATACCACGTTATCATTTTCTAACATGCCATGCCAGCCCGCACTGGACGGGCACGCAACCGCAGGGTTTAAAAACCCTGTTTGGGGATACTGCACTCCAGCTCTAATTTTGCTATTCGTGCCTCTGGAGACCGGGGTCCCGCGATGCATTGTATCAAGGCACTTCGCCTGGACATCGTTTCTGGATGGGCTGGCCCGCGGCGCTCCTGGCAGCGAATGTAGGGACGACGCCCACATATTTTAGTCGAAACTAGTCTGACCGTCCTCTTCGGCCGCGCTTGGGGCTCTCTTGGGGCCAACTGGGGGCCCTCTTGGGCCCTTGTCTGGGGTTTCTTGGGGTCCCTTGGAGCTGCCCCGGACGTCCTGGGGATACCTGGGCGGCCCGAGGTGCATCTGGGTAGTGCTTAGGAGAAGTCTGGGGGCGCTCGGGAGGTGCATTGGGGTACGGCTGGGCGGTTCTGGGCTGCCGTGGCGCCGTCTTGGAGCCACCTTGGCTGGACCGTCTTGAGAACCACCAGGGCCGTTTTGGTGCCCCGTTGGGCAGTCTTGGGGCCCTCTTGGGGTCGCCTCGGGCAGTTTTGGGGCGATCTTGGGGGGCCTCTGGGGCCTCCGTGGCCGATCTCAGGCTCGAAAAATCATATTTCCGATGATGTTGCCAACGCCATGTGGCAATCACCCTTTTTTGCTGGCGGGGCTGCCCCTTTGAGCCATCTCGGGGCGCGTTAGGAGCCTCTTGGACCGCCTTGGAGCGTTCTTTGATTTTTGTTGGAGCTTTCTGGGGCCGTCATGGGGCCCTCTAGGGCGGTCGGGTGCCTCTATTGGAACGTACTAGAGTTCTCTCAGGGCCCTCGTGGGCCGTCTTGGAACGCTCCGGGTGCGCTGGGCAGCGCGCTGGGGCCTGCTGGGCCAAGCTTGATCCACCTGATTGTGGCACCTTTCTGGCACGTGGCGCTCCTGGCACAGTGTACTTGACAGGTGACGTTGGGCTCCAGCTTCGCCCCCCGTATCTCGCTGAGCAGCCCCAGAGCCCGCTGCCACTGCTCGCCCTTCTCGCACGCGCTGATCCCAGCGCTGTAGCTGACTAGGGCAGACCTGTGGACTCCGTCCACGACATCAGCTCGACGTGGCGAGGGGTCTCTGGGCAAGCGCGGCGTGCCTGTCGCCTCTCGTCAGCTCCCCCGCTCCTGGAGGGAATTCTGAAGCCACTGAAGGCTTCGTGGGGGCCGTTTCGGAGCCTCTTCGGCCTTCGTTTGGGCCTCCCGGGGGGGCTCTTAGGGCCCTCTCGGGCCGTCTTGGGTGCCTCTTGGGCCGTCTTGGGGCCGTCTGAGGCCCGCCTCGGCGCCTCTTGGGCTGTCGTGGGCCGTCTTGGGCCGCTCCTGGGGCCGTCTTGGGTGCCTCTTGGGCCGTCTTGGGCGCCTCCTGGGCCGTCCTGGGGCCGTCCTGGGGCGTCTTGGGACCGTCTTGGGGCCCTCCTGGCCCGTCTTGGGGCTCTCTTGGGGTCCTCTTCGGCCGTCTTGGAGCGGTCGGGGGGACTTCTTGGGCCGTCTTGGAGCGTCGGGAAGCCGAAGAGGCGAGGAGGCCGAAAACATCGAAAAACACAATAGAAATCGACGATTTCTGTCGCTCGGGGCCCTCTTGGGAGGCCTCTTGGGAGGCCTCTTCGGGCGTCTTGGACGCCTCTTGGGCCGTCTGGGGCGAATCTCGGGCGTCTTGGGCCCATCTTTAAGCGTGCCGGGGCTCTCCGGGGCCGTCTTGGGGGCTTCTGGGGGCCCTCTCGACATGTCCTGGAGCCTGCCTGGGCGGCCCGGGGCGGCCCGGGGCCAGCCCGGGGCGGTTTCGGTGCATTGGAGCCTGCGCCATTCTGGCACGCACTGGGCCCTGCAATGTAGTAGAGACTAGGGCTGACCCGTGGACTCCGTCCACGACATCTTTCTGGAATGGTTCTCGGAGGAACGGCGCAGATTGCACCGAAAATCTACAAACACGGCGGCGGCTCGGGCGGTGGCAGCGAGACCGCGCCTTCGTGTCCGAGCTCTTGCAGCGCTCCAGCAGCTTGGCCCAACGCACTGCTCGTTCACCCCCCTCCTATTGAGGGCAGTTTCGAAGTCTCTCGGGGATGTGCATCGAAGTCGAAGTCCATCTGAGGCGTCTCAGGAGCGCCCGGGGAAAGGCTCGGGAGGCCATCGGGGAAAGCCACCGAAAGCGCCGGGGAGGCTCGCAAGGATCTACAGGGAGGGCCCAAGAGAGCTTCAAGAAAATTTGAAATTCTGTAAAATCTTTGGAGAAACCGCTGTTGGGTCGGCCATCACCTCCAGGCACGCCGTGATGGTGCGATCCAGTCGCATCACCGCCAACGGAGGGTTTGTTCGCCATGTCCCATTCTGTTCGCCCAGAGGGTCTGTGGAGGCCTTCGGGCGAACAGAACGGGACAGGGCAAGGAATGGGTCATATCAATTGGCTGCTGCCCCAAGGGTCCGGTCTGGTTGGCCTGAAGAGTTTGCCAAGGCTCCTGGGGGAACAGAATGGCACAGCATATCGGGCAAAGGGGGGGCGGTAGCTGGCCTGTCAGACCCGGCGTTCGTCTTCTGCCCAAGCGGCGCGGGGCCCACGGGCCCCAGGGTTGGCGGCCCGCTGGGTTTCCTCTTGTTCGCCCACAGGGTTGGAGGAGGCCTCCAGGCGAACAGAATGGGGCAGGACAATGAATGTGGGAGACTTGTCGCAAGCTCCCAGCCCCCCCAAGTGTTCGCCCGAAAGGTGTGGGGCCGCGTTGGCTCCCTCAAAGGGCCGTCTTGGACCCGTCTAGGCCCGTCTTGAGGGCGCCGTTTGCCGTGATGGGGCCGTCTTGGTTCGTCGTGGACCCCTCATGGGCGCGTCCGTAGGCCGTCCTGGGCCCATCGGGGTCCTTGTTGGCACTATCGTGGGCCTGTCTTGGAGCCGTCTAGGACCGTGAGGGGGCCGCCTTGGAGTCGTCTTGGGCCCCTCCTGTGCGCCTCCTTGGGCCGTCCTGGGCCCAGCAGGGGCCGTGTTGGCACCCTCTTGGGGCTGTCTTGGAGCCGTCTGGGACCGTGAGGGGGCCGCCTTGGAGTCGTCTTGGGCCCCTCCTGTGCGCCTCCTTGGACGTTCGTCTTCTGCCCAAGCGGCGCGGGGCCCACGGGCCCCAGGGTTGGCGGCCCGCTGGGTTTCCTCTTGTTCGCCCGTTTCGGGCCGCTTTGGGGGCGAGTTTGGCGGTTCTCCTGGGCGGTCCCCTCGTCCGCCCCCCTCGCTTCGAGGCAGTTTTGAAGCCCCGTGGGACCTCTTGGGGACCTCCTTGGGGCTCCTGGGGGCGTCTTGGGCCTCTCTGGGCCCGTCTATCGCGCCCCTTGGGCTGTCTTGGGGCCCCCTAGGGCCTTCTTGGGCGGTCCTCGGGCCGTCTTGGAGCTGTCTTGGGCCGCTCTTCGGGCCATCTTGGGGTCCCGTTGGCCTGTCTTGGGCGCCTCTGGGCCCGTCCTGGGGCCGCCTTGGACCGTCTTGGGGCCCTCTTGGACCGTCTTGGGGTCCTCTTGGGGACCTCTTCGACCGTCTTGGAGCGGTCTTGGATGCCTCTCGGGGGGTTCGGAGCGTCGGGAAGCCGAACAAGCGAGGAAGCAAAAAACCTCGGAAAAAAACATATGAAAATCAACGATTTTGGCCTCTCGGGGCTCTCTTGGGAGGCCTCTTGGGAGGCCTATTTGGCCGTCTTGGGGAGCTCTTGGGCCGTCTTGGGCCAATCTTGGGCGTCTTGGCCGGATCATTGCGCGTCTCGGGGCCCTCTTGGGCCGCCTTCGGGGCATCTTGAGCGGCTCGGAGCCGTCTTTGGGCCGTCGGGGCGGCCTCCGGAGCGTCTCGGAGCCGTCCTGGGGCCGCCGGGGCGCCGAGAGCCCCCAGGCTCTTCCCGACCCTTCCCGCACGCACGTGCTCCTGAAATGTAGTAGAGACTAGGGCTGACCCGCGGCCTCTGGCCGCGGAATTTGCCCGCCCTGGCGTGGACGTGGAAGTGGAGCGTCTCTGGGGCCTCGCGGGTAAGGGGAGGTTGGAGGGGATGGCGTGGATGGAGGAGGTGGCCGCTGGAGGGGAAGGTGGGCGAGGGATGCAGGCAAGCAGGCCTGAAGGCAGGAACGCGGTGGTGGAGGCGGTGTCAGTGGAAGCACTCCCATGTAGGCATGCCATGATGTGGATAGAAGCTGTTTCTGACGCCGCAATCTGTGTTCATCATAGCTTCTGCGGGGAAGGTAGCCGTGAGAAGTATCTGCTCTTCGTCGGGGCCCAATGATGATTTCATCTGGTAGTGTGGTGACAATGGGGCCAGTGGGCGCGGCCTATGAGGCCCGCAAGAGGGCGGCACGGAACTCCCTAAGAAGGGCCCCAGAGCGCACCTCCCCAAGACGTCTCCAAATAGCGCAAAGATGGCTCCCAGAGGGTCCAAGAAGCCTCCAAAACGATGCTGGAAGTTCGACGCTCCCCAAGAGAGAAACATCCAAGGCCTCTCGGAGGCCGCTAGGGGGCCTCTTTTCGTCCTCCTGGGGGTGGGTCTCTCGGAGCCCTCTTTGGCAGTATTGAGTGCATATTGGGCCGTCTTGGGGCGATGTGGGGCCGCCTTGGGCGCCTCTCGGACCATCTTGGGACAATCTTGGGGCCATCTTGGGCCACTATTGGGCGCTACTGAGGCTGTCTTTGGTGTTTCTTGAACCGTCTCGAGCGCCTCTGGAGCCGTCCCGGACGGCCCAGAGACCATCTTGGAGACTGTCCAAACGGAAAGGCTTGGAGACGGGGCGGCGGGGGCTTCTACAGCCGTCTTGGAGACGGGGCGGTGGAGCCGTCTTGGGCCATTATTAACTGCTCTTGGGGCTGTCTTGGGTGCGTCTTGGGCCGTCTCGGGCGCCTCTGGAGCCGTCCCGGGGCGCCCTCATAGGGGGCGTCTGGGCGCGTCTTGGGGCGAGCTGGGGGGCCTGTATAGCCTTCGGGACGCTGCGAGGACGAAAAAGCAAGATATATATATATATATATATATATATATATGTATATATATGTATATATAATGTATATGTGTATATATATGTGCATTTTTATATATATATATATATAATATATATATATATATAGGTGTGTGTATGTTTGTATGTATGTATGCATGCATGCATGCATGTGTATGTATGTATGTATGTATGTATATATGTGTATGTGTATATATATATATATGGTCGCCCCCCCCAGCACCCCCCAAACCACCAAAACCACAAAACGATCATTGATTGTTTGCTCCTCCTCCTCCTCCTCCCTCGCCCTCCTCTTCCTCCTTCTTTCCTCCTCTTCCTTAACTCCTCCTCCTCCTCTTCCTCCTCCTGTTCCTTCGCCAAAAAGACTTGCAGGAGGAGGGTGGCCACGAAACCATGCTATTCACATGTTTTTTGTTTTTTTCGGTCAGGGAGGCAACCAAACACTGCTATTCACAGGTTCTTTTTGTTTTTTTGGTTTTCAGAGATCCACAAGCATGGCCAGGGGGTGTTGTGGAATGCCAGAAACCAAACAAAAACTTGTGAATAGCAGTATTTGGTGAGAGCACGGCCACGAAACCATGCTATTCACATGTTTTTGGGTTTTTTTTTTCCGGTCCGCCAGAAAACCAAAAAAACAAAAAACCTGTGAATAGCAGTGTTTGGTGGCCATGCTCCCCCCAAACACTGCAATTCACAATTTTTTGTTTGGCTTCTGGCGTTCCACAACACCCCCTGGCCATGCTTGTGGATCTCTGAAAACAAACAAGACCTGTGAATAGCAGTGTTTGTTTGCCTCCCTGACCGAAAACACCCTAAACAAATGTGAACAACACGGTTTCGTTGCCATGCTGATGCTGTTGCTGTTGTTGCTTCCCTTCCTCATCCTCATCCTCCTCACCCTCACCCCCCTCATCCTCATCATCCTCATCCTTTTCTTCTTGCTCCTCATCCTCATTCCCCTTTCATCCTCCTCATCCTCATCCTCTTCTTCGCCCTCCTCATCCTCGTCCTCCTCATCCTCACCCTTCTGCTGCTCTTCCGCCTCTTCCTCCTGCTCCTCTTCCCCCTCCTTCTCCTCCTCCTCCTCCTCCTACCGAACCCGCCAGGATCACAGTATGATTACAATCAGAATGCAGCAATAATTATTCAACCCATCCCTCTTTCTCCAAATCAATGCGACGCAATGCGATTGCAGCGCAATGCAACGCAATGCGATCGAAATGCAGTGCATTGCAACGCACTGCGATCGCAATGCATTGCAATGCGCTGCAATGGGATTGCAACGCAAAGCAATTGCAATGCAGCGGGGGGGGTGGGTGGGGAGGTGTTGACAAAGGGATCCAAGAAAAGGGGCATCTGCAAGATGGGGAAGCACGGCGAGAGGAGGAATGATGAGTAACAGGATCAACTGAAGATGGTGCTTGTTCGCGCAGTTCACAACCGTCGTAATCAATATGCGTGTCCGCGCACATTTCGCATGGGCATTTCTATGACACTCGCCCAACATGTCGCAACGCGGAAGGCATCTACATCTGGAAAGCGAACAAGCATAGACCTGAATGCATTCACAGCAGCTCGCTTCGGCCGTCATAAGCAATATGCGTCGCTGCGCACATTTCGCATGTGCGTTCTCGCGTCACTCGCCAGGCCAGCTGCCGCTGGATCAGTCCGTAAGGTCACCTGGAAGCTCGCTCGCGCCGCCAACGCGCTCCGCCTCGACGCCATCGAGGAGCGTCTCCAATTCGGCTTCCAAGTCGACGCTATCGTCGGCCACCTCGATGGTCTCGCCGCGCGCCTGCGCCACAATGGATGCGAAAATCGCCTGCTGCCCCTGGATGTCCACGGGGGAGAGCGGCCCGCCGCAGGCCAGACCCGTCCTCCTGGCCTTCCGCGGCGGAGTGACCAGGTCCTCGCGCGCGCCGTGGTGGGTCTTGGCGAGGCTGCGGAAGATCGCCGCCTGCTCCCGATGGTCCTCTTCCGAGAGCGCACCGTGGCAGCCGACGATCGGGGGCTGCACGGCGGGCGCGGCGTCCGCGGGCGCAGCCGCGCAACTCGGCGCACTCGCGTCGCCGCTCGATCCAGGAGCAGCACCCGCCTGCCACGGCGCCATCATAAGCACTTTGGCCTCGGAGTTGCTGATATCCCTCACGCGGGCGCCCCGCGCGGCCGTCAGCTTTTTTGGGGGGCGACAGCTCGGGCCCCCGCATGTCGCCGTCGAAGCCGAACACGTCCTCCTCGTCCGCGGGGTCGGCCCACGCGTCGGCGCCGCCGCCGCGGTCGGACATCCCGCCGCCGTTGGGCGCGGTCTCCACGCCGCCCGCCGCGCCTGCCTCCCGTGGCGCCGCGGCGCCAGGCCGACCACCCGATCCGCAGATCTGACAGAGGCGCGCGCCCTCCGTGAGCTCGCGCCAGGCCGCGCGGCGGCAGAGCTTCAGAAGCTTGGGCGGGACGGCGGCGCTGATGTTGCGCACCGTCCAGCGGGGCAAGTACCGCATGCGCGCTCGGCCCCCGCCGACCTGAGGCGCGCCGTCGCAATCGCGGCGGCCCGATCGCTCAGTGCCGCGGCCACCTGAATCCGATCAGAGAACGAGCGTCGTAATCGATCAATTTGACCGCCCAGGCGCATGAGAACTATGAGCCAGGGCCTCATGAAGCTTGTCGGCGCTGAACGACTTGACGCGCCACATGTCGATGCCGTGCCACCACCTTCGAAAGCGAGCGGAAGATCGGAGTGACGAGGAGCGTTGCGGGGGAAATTAACAATTTGATTAAAGCGACCGTCGCGCAAGAGCCCAGGCAACGTGGCGCGACGATTCATCCGACCGCGGCCGACCGCAGGGTCGAGATGCGATCGCGCGAGCGGCGGCCCTCGACGGAAGACGTCCAACAAATGCAATGCACCTCGGGCGGCTATCGGTCGCCGCCTGTCGCCGCGCTGCCAGCCGACGCGCGCGTGACGCAGCGACCACGCGGTGCTCAGGTCGATGAAACCGTCGTCTTCCTGTGGCGGGTTCCCGAAAACTCGCTCGGCGAAATGGCGAAGCAAGGGGGGGGGGGGGGGGTCCGTCCCCGTCCGAACCGAAAAGTTGCGCCTGCGCCGAGTTTCGGGCGGAACAAATGACGGTCTTGCAAAGCCCAATAGGGGCCCCCTTACACCTCAAACAACCCGACGCAGATCATAACAATGCAAACATGCAGCACAGAGCAACGCAGCACACAATGCAGACACATGCCAGGCAGTGCATGGGAACCGAGGTGACGACCAGATACTGTGACGGAGCCAAGATGACATAGAGACTTGAAGCACAACGATGACAAACGACAGTGCGCGAATCAAGATGGTCAGCAAACGACAGGGGAACCAGGAGAACAATAAACCGGTGGAGCAGGACAAATAGCAATTGGAACGCTAAGTTAGAATGTCATTAATGCCTGCAACAAGTGAATTTGCATGACACATGTCCTGCACCGTGATATGGATCACTTTGGTGGGGTCGTAATGGACGGGCGCCAAGCCGACGTGTCCGTATACGGCCTTCGAGCGGCAGAATATGGCACGCGCCGAATCAATTTGCCTTCCCCGCGCCATGCAAGGAGAGCTCCTTTTTTACAAACAAATCTGCTACCGTGCGCGTGGAAGTGGCGGACGGGGAGAAATTGGGTCGCCCGCAAGGGCAGATCACATCAGGTTGGGGATTGCAATGGCGTCTCGGGCAACCCCAACGCTCTCCCGTAGCGGTCGCCTCCGCTCTTCTGCACTCCGAACGTTTAAGTTGTTGTTCGGCTACGACTTAGACATGATCAGCCACCAGCACATGCCATAAACATATAAAACTAACAGCTCTGCAGCGCCAAAAAAACACGGGATAGCTTGATTTCACTGTTCAGCGCCCCTAAGAACCCCGTCGGCGATGCGAAGCGGCAGCCCCCATGCCTCCGCCGCGTCGTGAGCCTCGTCTGCAAGCCGCCCGCACGGGAGCGAGGGCGACTTGGAAAAGGAGCAGGCGCGGTCGGCGCCAGGCGGGGTCACCTTGGCGAAGAAGGCAAACGTGCGTGGCCTCAGCGTTTGGCCAGTGCCATCCAGAGCTCGGGCACGGTGCGCGCGCACTCCTGGCCGACCACAGGAGTGACTGCGCTCCGCCCTTAGGCCCAGGATGGCACTTGCCAATGCGGCGGCGGCACGTCGAGGCCCCCCGCGCAACCTTGGCCACGTATGCGCAAGCCGCGCGCGCGAAAGAATGCGCGGGGTTGTGCCAGCATTCCCAGCACTGGTTCACCTTGGGGGCCATTGATCTGCGATAGCACCAGGGCTGACCGATCAAGCCTGAACGGGCCGAGCGAACATCTCCGAACGGCCAGCTGGGAGTCTTCGCGACCGTGGTGGTCCTGGCCGCGGCCGCGGACAATGGTGGGATCACTTCCGAGCCCGCGGCCGACGCAAGCCACGGGTAATTATCGTCCGCGCACTCATCGATCCAGTTGGCAGCGCTGGAGAGGCGGTACAAGAACGCCATGGCGGCTACCAAGCAAACTGGCACCTCGCACGTTCGGGCCAGAATGCCAACTCTGCGCGCAGCGCTGCCGCAGGGCGAGCTGGCGACTACCCCTGCGAAATACCACAATGCATTCGCCATGAACAGCTCATCGCATGACGCTTCTATCGGCGTGACAGCGCCGACATGCGACACACTCGCTCACAAAACAACCTGCTTTACAAACAATGGGGGAAGGAGATCATCTCCGCACTGAACAGAAGAAAACAGGCCCTGCTGGCCGATCGGCCCCGAGGTGCTGGCGCAGCAACAAGTTGACGTGGGAGCCGCGGGCCGCCACTGTCGGCGTCGCCCTGGCAGCGGGGCAGCGGGCCGAATCAGGCCGAGCAGGGGATGTTGCTGCCAAGTCGAAAGAGGCCCCGGGCGACGTGCCCGCGCGACCACCCACGCGAGCCCATGAGCGCATGCAAAGCAGCGCGCGTCCATTGCGCGCGACAGTGAGCACGCGGCGCGCACAGTGTACGCGCACGCTGTGCACGTGGTGTGCGCGTGGAGTCCACGCGTGCTAGTAGTAGTGGTAGTAGTAGTAGTAGTAGTAGTAGTAGTAGTAGTAGTAGTAGTAGTAGTGTAGTAGTAGTAGTAGTAGTAGTAGTAGTAGTAGTAGTAGTAGTAGTAGTAGTAGTAGTAGTAGTAGTAGTAGTAGTAGTAGTAGTAGTAGTCGTAGTAGTAGTAGTAGTCGTAGTAGTAGTAGTAGTAGCAGCAGTAGTAGTAGTAGTAGTAGTAGTAGTAGTAGTAGTAGTAGTAGTAGTAGTAGTAGTAGTGGTAGTAGTAGTAGTAGTAGTAGTAGTAGTAGTAGTAGTAGTAGTAGTAGTAGTAGTAGTAGTAGTAGTAGTAGTAGTAGTAGTAGTAGTAGTAGTAGTAGTAGTAGTAGTAGTAGTAGTAGTAGTAGTAGTAGTAGTAGTAGTAGTAGTAGTAGTAGTAGTAGTAGTAGTAGTAGTAGTAGTAGTAGTAGTAGTAGTAGTAGTAGTAGTAGTAGTAGTAGTAGTAGTAGTAGTAGTAGTAGTAATAATAGTGGTAGTAGAAGTAGTAGTAGGTGGAAGAAGGAAGAGATGCCGGTTTTTCCTCAGGAAGAAGACGCAGTGGTCACCCGCTGCTCCTGCGTCGCGGCGGGTTTGCCGCTGCCTGCTGTTCCTTATTGTCGGCGGGTGGTTCTTGTTGTTCTGCATTGGTTTCTGCTGCGCTTCGCGATTTCCGTCTCCAGGAGGGCATCCTAAAAATGGGATGCCCCTTTTTCGCAACAGAAGACGCAATTGTTTCTCACTCATTCTGCGTCGCGGCGGGTTTGCCGCTGCCTGTCGTTCATTACCATCAAGGCGTTGTTCTTGTTGTTCTGCATTTCTTTTCTGTTGCGTTTTGTGATTTCCGCCTCGGAGAGGGCGCCCTAAAATCGGGATGCCCCTTTTCACAGCGGAAGACGCAGTTGCTGCTCACTGCTTCTGCGTCGCGGCGGGCTTGCAGCTGTATGTTGTTCGTGGTTGTTGACGTGTTGATCCTGTCGTCACGCGTTGCGTTTCTGTTGCGTTTTGCGGCGTCCGTCGCCGCGAGGGCATCCTTAATTTTGGATGCCCTTTTGCGCCACAGAAGACGCGCCTGTTTCTCACTAGGTCTGCGTCGCGGCGAGTTTGCCGCCGTCTGTTGTTCATTATCGTCGATGCGGTGCTCTTGTGGTTCTGCCGTGTTTTCTGTTGCGCTTTGCGATTTCCGTTCCCAGGGGGGCATCCTAAATTGTGGATGCCCTTTTCTTTTTCTGAACCCTCAGAGCAAGGGGGATCTTATCCAAGATCCCCCGACAGGAGGATCTCGCCCAGACGCCGCCACCCGGCGGTCGAAGTTCGAACGTCATTTTCTGGAGCGGGGGGGGCGGCGGGCCCGCCGCGCGGCAGCGTGCGGGTGTGTCGTTAGCAGCCCCGTGCAGGGGTGCGTTGTCATTGGGTCGGTCCGCTTGCCCCTCTGTCGATTTGCTCTCTGAACGCCCAAACTAAGGGGGATGTTGTCCAAGACACACGCAGAAGGATCTTGTTCAAGATACCGCCACCTGGTGGCTTGGGGTCTGTCTCAGTCGTGCACTTGAGCACGAACGGCAGAACCTTGCGATTGGGCCCAAGCAGCCGCGAGCTTATGGGCGTCAAAAAGCACGTCGTCAGTAGATTGCTCCGTTTCCCCCTCCGTCGAGTTGTTTTTTTCGGGACCTCCAAAGCAAGGGGGGTCTTATCCAAGATCCCCGGACAGCAAGGTCTTGTTCAAGACGCCGCCACCTGGCGGTCGAAGTTCGAACGCCATTCCCTGGAGCGTGGCGGGCGGCGGGCACGCCATGCGGCAGCATGTTGGTTTTTTCGTTAGCAGCCCCGCGCAAAGGTCGTGCAGGCGCCTCACTGGCTGCCCATGCAGCCGTCCCTAAGGGACCGGTTGCGCCTCGAACCCCACTTCGCGGGGTGCAAAGTGAGCCAGGCCCAGCGCTTCTTCTCCTGGGGCGTTGCCCAGTAGTTGAAGCGAGCCTGCTTTGAGCGGAGGTCGGCGAGGGCGGCTTTGGCCTTGCCGAGCTCTTCCTGCAGTTCCTCGTTGCTCTGCTCCAGCTTCTCGTTGGCCCGCGCCAACTGCCGCAGCTTGAGTTCGTCGGCCTGCTCCTGCTTCTCGCGGGTCGCTGCGTCGAGCTCCCTCGTGAGCTTCCTGTTCTTCTCGCAGAGAGCGTCGAACCGAAAGGTGGAACGAAGGGTAGCAGTGGCCAGTGCATCGCACAGACGCCTGTGCGAAGCAGCCTTGAACTCCGTCGCTGCCTCCTTCAAGGCTTTCGCCACCCACGGTTTGCCCAAGAAGTTTTTCACAGCCCTGACGCGTGCCCTGCCCATGTTGGCGATGCGCTTCCTCTCGAGCGCTGCCTTCGTCGAGGCTGGCATGGTAGCAAAAATGAACAACTTGAACCAAAAAGGGCTACGGAAACGATAGGATGCGAGAGCGAGCGCTAG